CACTGTTGTCCATCACATTGACCATTGCTATACATTCATGTAATGTCATATAAGCAAAATAAACTAAATAAATAAATAAAAAGAATTGCCTTATAAGAAGAAATATGTTTTCTCATATCAATTTATTAAGTCAATTAATGGTAGAACCAGGAAAACTGGTATTTGCGAATGGACGAAGCGACCTATTTGGAATTGTTGCAACCATTTCTCTTGACGCATGTTTGTCCACTTCTTTTAGTTTATTTACTAATTGCTCATATGCCTTATTTTTCATATGCCGATTGGAAAATATTTAAACAAACGAATAAAGTCGTTTAAGAATTCTTTAGAATTTATCATTATCTATTTAAATACGCTTTTCTGTACAAATAAATTTTTTTATAACGGTTCTGATTACGGTTTCCGTATATCCAAGGACACCGAAAGAGGCTGGAAAAAGATCAAAGTGCCGACGACGAGTGAATTTGTTGGTTTATATATGCTGTGGTATAGCTATCAAATGTATGTAGAGCATTTGTTAATGGTTGGAAATTTTTGAAAATTAGATTAACCATTGAGTCAGATAATGATCCCTAAAAAAATAAATTCTAAAATAAATATAACCATAACCTACGCATTTAAAACATTGAAATATGTTCGACTGAATTTCTCGTACGCCATAGATTTTGCCATGCAAAGAGGATCCATATCATTATCAAAATTAAAGTAAGGCAGATCTGAACTCCATATGCCATCGATGCTGACATCGTGTACCTTGTTTCTGTCACCATTTTCCTTCATCTTTCCTCTAAAAGTCAACCGCCATTTCCTCATTGGTTCTACCGGCGTAATTTCGATACCTTCAGCGGAATATTCCTCTGAATAGTCAGTCTTATAGAGAGCAGTTCCAGGCAGTTTTGGACTTTCTAATACCCCCAAATTGCTATCATTAATTTTAAGATAGAGGAAACCATCTACTAGTAAATTTTTCCTACGCGCAGTACCAACTACGAGGTAGTCTCCTTGCTTATTCGCACCGTTCAAGTATATTGCGTCAATAGCCTGTAAAAATGTCCCTGTTAATAAAATAAAAGACTTACCATAAGGAAAGGGTTGTAATGTATGTACTGATTAGTATTGTTTCTAATCCGTACAAGTCAGGACCGTACTTAGGTTTCATTAAGCCTACATCTAATATACAACAAAATTAATATCTGGAACATGTTTTAGTTATTGCAGGCGAATATTGCACAGAATATTTGTAATATTATATTATAAGAGGGCTAAGAAAAAACAAAAATTATCAGATAAGCGAACAACTATCGGGAATTCTCATTTACACACAATTAATATTGCAGCAATCCTGAATTTTGTAACAGATTACAATTTTCTGTTCTGCATAACAAGATAATAAAACGATCACGATTCAACTATTAATAATGTAATAATTATTTAGTTATTTAATGTTGTAATTTTGTTTCTTCTTATATGTATCATGTATTACTTGTGAAAATTTTCGATAAATATAAAAATATTAGGAGCAAAAAATCGCGAGAAAATAAAACAAAAAGTTAAGGAAAGGCTTATTTAACTTTGTGATAGTTTTTAAATTATCAGTTAAACTAAAGAAAACTTTGTTCAAATTTGGTAAAGAGGTGTTTCTACTGATGCTAAAATAGAATATATTACCAACTTTTAGATAAAAAATATCCGCTAGGCGTGTATCGTACTGCGATCATCTATATCTACAGTGTGAAAAACGTTCGTCGTAAAAACATGTCGTCTCCAGACGAATCTATTATGATAGCAAGTGCTGCTTTGTATACTAATACATAATATAGTGGAAGATTATAAACGTCCACGAAGATTTTGATACATGTTTTGTACAAAGAAAGAAGCGGGTTGCATTACTTTCAATTTGAAATTTCAATCAGCGGATATTACAAAAATTTCGCATGCATGCATCCTTCAGATTTTGAATATTTAATCAATCTAGTTGGACCAAGAATTCAAAAAAGAGATACTTTTAGAGAAGCTATTTCAGTCCAAGATAGATTAAATTTAAACACTTTTCTTCACTTCATTCCATGATCGCACCCAAAGTTTACAGAATAAGTACTGCAACGCTGATTGATACACTGATAGGTATAAGTCTTTCCGATATCAATTGAAGAACCAACAGATTGACAGTACGTACCAGGTTCGGTCGTTTACGCAGCAACTCGGTATTGAAATATTTGAAAAACTTGCTCCCATATACAGATCTGGTCGAATTAAACGTGGAGGTGGTAGAAATGCATACGCCCAGTTGAGGAATGCGAGCGCGGGCAAAGGAAAACAAACACAGTTGCATTGGGCTACTGGGCAATAAATCTCAGCAGTTGACAAGTGGTTGATAAATTGCCCAGCTGTGCAGTGCAGCAATGCGGAATTTGGTGTGATTCAGGTAATTTTAATTTATTATAGGCACCTTCTATCAATCATTTATATTACAATTGCGAAAGGTAGAAATAAGAGGGATATTTTGTTTACTAATATTATCACAACATGGCATTTTGGAGACCTTTTGAAACGGAACAAAACGAAATTTACAACCAATATAATAAAATTGTTTGAGGACATAAATAATTAAAATATGTTGTTGGCCAAATGAACATATAATAAAAATTTTCTACACATTATACAGGGTCGGAAAGTCCCCATGGTTCATAGGCCGTTACGTGAGAGCGATAAAGTAAGTCATAGAAATCCGTGCGATAGAGAAAGATGGCTATAATGAAGACGTCTAATAGTCACCGCCTATTTCGCCCTTCCACAAATAAGAAGTGGATCTTATGGACTTTCCGACCCTGTATACAAATTATTATAATTTTTTACCTTTAGCAGGAAACTTTTTTAGGGACGCCTATGAAAGTCATTAAATTTTATTGCCAGTGGTTTTTTTGCATGTTCAACTTCGGAAAGACTATATTACTAACTTGTGCTCCTCTATGAATCATTCGTACACACTATAAATTTATGTTACAATAGATGATACAAATACAGATACGGAGCGCAGATGAGTACCCGGCTTAAGGCATTAAAGGGCATTATTAAGAAATTTAATAAGGATATTAGATACAAAATGAGTATTAGTGTGCAAAATCTCGACCACTTGTTCATGTAATTTCAACTTTACACTGTCTTATTTTAAACTGTAAGTGCGTAACAAAACAGCCTCAGGTCTTGGAGGAAGACAATCCTGGCGGGTTGGGGATACGTCCTTCCAAAGGAAAGTCGTTAAAGCTCTCCAAAGGCGTCACAATGGGGCATCCAAAAAGGCGAGGCCCCGGAGCTTTTTCCGAACTGCTTTATAGTAGTTATCCCACTAGTATTATATCCAGTTTCTTCTAAATAAATAAGTTCTTATACAAATATAAAATGCATTCTACCAAATTTTCACATTTCACAGTAACTAAATATAGTACAACTTAACCTTCAAAACTCTCTTGCACATTTGTCGAAACTTCCATAGGTTTCTAAGAACAGTACAGAACAATATCTAATCTTTTAAGAACATTATCAAATAAATAAGTAAATAAATGTGCAAACAAAGTCTACTAGGGAGATTTTCGTTATAATTTGCATACCTATTTTCTTCTATAAAAATCTAAATAATTCTCGACATCCTGCTGACAGTGCTGACAACACCTTCTAATTAGGTACCTACTCTACATCCTGAACTATAATTAGGATCAAATGTGTATAATACTGTGTAATTTTCCATGGCCACTTTTTTCACTTTTGTTCCACTGCCATTCGTGGATTCAGTAGAGCATGTTATTGTTCGCGTTGTAATTATATGCATTTATAAACCGAATTTTTTAATAGATAGGTATCTACTTAATGTATAAAGGAAACCCAGTTCAGTAATTTTTATCATTTTTTAAATATAAAGTCGTATATATTAATATTAAGTCATTGTCATTATGGAATGTAGACCAAAAAAGTGATACTGTAATAATGAAGTATATAAATTTGTTTATCGCGATTTTTTCTTTTTTTCCATATATCTGGTTTATTATTATTTATGTATAAACAGGGTGATTCAGAACTTATAATAAAAATTAATTTACAGGGAACTCTTGCAAATACAATTTTGTAAAGAAAATCAAAAAGGGCTGTTCGAAAATGATTTAAAAATACACTTTTGCACGGCACTGGAGAGTAATCCACTGTAAAACTTGACCCTGCACAAGACAAGGCATGTAGTCGACAACGGGCACGGCGGCAAAGTCTAATAACAAAAAATTGAAAGAATTTCTTTCCCAACGAAAAAAATCAATAAAATTTTATATCAACAAATGTTACTGCTTTTGCCGCAATTGTTATTATAACTTTAATTTTATTGATTTTAATTAATAAGATACCTGAACTATTCAAAATTTTGTCACCGACTTGTAAACACATTTTGGCCCGTCTTACCCAGTTTCTACGAACTAACACAAAGTTGTCTTGCTTCGCCATAACACAAATGTTGTCTTGCTTCACCATAAATTAAAACGATATCCATCAACTCCGGGTTGCTATTTTTGACATTTGAAGAACTAGGTAATGTAAACATCATCGCAAAAACGTTAATACTAACATCGGATTTCAGTGTTCGGAATCGCCTGGGCCAACGTGGAGAGAAAGCGCAACGCGAATGACGCTAGAGGCTACAGTAGCTCAGTGAAGTAAAGGTTGAAAATACTACAACTTCAATATTTTTTTTCTCAGAAACAATAAAAATTTTACAATTTTTTTTTACAATTTTCCATGACGTATATATTCCCAATCCATTTTTTTGGATAAGTTGTGAATCACCCTAAATACTAATACACCTATTAGAAAAATTATCATAGATATGGCCAACATATACAGGGCATAATTAAAATACTTGGCTAAAATGACGGATCCACGTCACAAATTTAATAAAATGTATTTCTGTAAACGTAGAATTGTTTAAATTTGAAAATGGAGTATTTTTATTAAACATTGGCATGGAAAAAGAAAAACCGTTGAATATTAAAATCTATTTTAATATGTTACTTCGTGAAAGTGGTTACTAGAACTAAGAACTAGAACTAAGCGGTTACTATTATTTAAAAAATAACATGGTATTATGACATGAAATTTCAACATTTATCTCAACAGTGCATCCTTGCAACGCGACGTGCAGGAAAACACTTTTTTGAAAATCCTACACTGCTTTATTGTAATAGATAAGAATAAGTCCATATCGAGTATTACGATACGAAAATCTGTTACATATCCATTTGCAGATAATCAAAAACTAACGCTCTTTTTCATATTTGAATGTAATTCAGTCGTTTTTCATCCTAGGTCTTGAAAACGAAGCCTTGTCGGACTCTAATTATAAGGTTTTTTGTTAAATTGTGAATTTGTTATTACTACTGATTTTTAAATCATTTTACATACAGGGTGTCTCACAGTGACGGCCCATTAGAATTTTTTCAGAAACTACTTTGACTTGAATTTTGAAAATTTGGGATACCGGGTTTTCGGGCATGCCCTTCTCAATTAAAATAATGGCGTCCACGTATCACCTCCGGTTATACCGGAAGTCGTCATCAACTTGCTTATTTTAAATGGAACGCCCTATATATTATTACAATTTTGGATTCTACGTGTTATTTTAGGTGGACTTTTGTGAAGTTTCACTATTCCTAAAATTAACCGTTTTCGAGATACCTAATTTAAAAAAAAATGAGAGAAACAGTGACTAGCTTCAAACCTTGTGTATTATATAGTAAGAAAGATAAAGCAACAATATTTATAGAGGGGATAGCTAGACCCCCAAGCTTCCCATTCATACTTTCAAAGTGGCTTAATTGCATACAGGGTGCTAGAAATTTAATGCCGAGTATAGTTAACTTCAAACTTTCATAAGTCGTTTTTTTTAAATGGAACACCCTGTATGTTTTTCTATATTCTGATACACAATTTTATTCTCTTTCGAACAGTATCAAGATTCCCTATACCTATCTCTTCTAGTTTTTAAGTTATCTACTATTTTTTGTGTAACCACCTAAAATCATGTAATTTCTTGCGAGGTTATCTGTGGAATTTTTAGCCAAACTTTAAAACAAACAACTAAACTGTCAATTTGTTGTTAGTCTCTTGCAGTGACAGTTTAATTTAGTGTTTATAAAAAATGAAAAACAATTCAACATTCAAATGCTGATATTTTAAATTTATTATTCATTCACAGACGTTGCAATGGGATTATAATCAGAACATGTACAGTTTTTAATGAGACATATCCAAATTTGCCACCAATGAGCAGAAAAAAGTTAAGAAGAATTTTAGCAAATCAACTAGAGTATGGTCGAGTTTGTATGTCCTGTCCAAATTTTGTTCGTACAACTCTCTTGGTTTCGACAATGCAATACCTATGTATGTTTTCAGCAGCAAAAATTGAATAATTCCAAATATTTCGAATTTTCACCGCCAAAAACAACGGTGACAGCATTTTTAAGATTAAGGCGATGTTTCGCATTGTATTAGCTATGCCCTGTCCATTTTGTTCGTGCAACTCTTTTGGTTTCGACAATGCAATGTTTCGTATGTTTTCAACCACGAAAATTGAATAATTTCAAATATTTCGAATTTTCACCACCAAGAACGGCGCTTATTATTATCAACATACATAATTAAAATTGTGTAGTACTATGTATGAAGTTGGTTTTTTAGAATTCTTCTTAACTTTATTCTGCTCATTGGTGGAAAATTGGGATATAGGTATCTCATTAAAATCATCATCATGTTCTGCTTAGAATCCCATTGCAACGTCTGTGAATAAATAATAATAAATAACTGGTGACAGTTTAGTTGTTTGTTTGGAAGTTTTGCTAAAAATTCCATAGCTAACCTCACAAGAAATTACATGATTTTAGGTGATTATACAAAAAATAGTAGATAACTTAAAAACTAGAAGAGATAGATATAGGGAACCCTGATACCATTCGAAAGAGAATAAAATTGTGTATGAGAATATAGAAAAACATACAGGGCGTTCCATTAAAAAAAAAAGACTTATGAAAGTTTGAAGTTAACTAAACTCGGCATTAAATTTCTAACACCCTGTATGCAATTAAGCCACTTTGAAAGTATGGATGGGAAGCTTAGGGGTCTAGCTATCCCCTCTATAAATATTGCTGCTTTATCTTTCTTACTATAAATTACACATGGTTTGAAGCTAGTCACTGTTTCTCTCCATTTGTTTGAAAAAAATTAAGTATTTCGAAAACGGTTAATTTTAGGAATAGGGAAACTTCATAAAAGTCCACCTAAAATAATACGTAGAATCCAAAATTGCAATAATATATATGGTGTTCCATTTAAAATAAACAACTTGATGGCGACATCCAGTAAACCGGAAGTGATACGTGGACGCCATTATTTTAGTTGAGAAAGGCATGCCCGAAAACCCGGTATCCCAAATTTTCAAAATTCAAATCGAAGTAGTCTCTGCAATAATTCTAATGGGCCGTCACCTTGTCACACCCTGTATAGGGTAAGGCATTTATAATAAATAAAATTAAAAAACCACATTGCCGATGAAAAGTGAAGACTATAGGTACAATAATTATTATTTAATTAGAGCAAATTGAGATTAGCATGACAGAAGGGAGCAAAAAATAAATACAAATAAATAAATATGAGGTTGTTTCGTTAAGACATGGTTAACACGTGCTCTGTGGTTAACACCTAACTTATGCCAAAGTTTATTCATTTGTAATTTACAATGGAGTTTACAGATCTAATTATTATCCACCGTGGTGCAGGTGCATTTCCATGAAATAATAAACAACAATTTTAAACTTTGATGGTATGTTTTTATCTCATTTAGTACCTACCTACTTTACTATTTTTAAAACAGCTTTTAGTAAAGTGATATGGAGGGACTTAGAATTATTGTTTTATGTTTAAATACATTAAAATTTAAAAACACAAATAAGATTATGTGTAATTATTACTTAAATAACAAGGATAATGATAGAATTATGCTGAAATATTCGATTTCTGTTAAAAAAAGAAATATTTTTCCGATTGAAAGATTCCCGAAAGGTCAGGCTTTTTATTAACACTGATCTGCATAGAGGATAAGAGTTCCTCTACTCTGTGCAGGCGATGCGTCACATATCACTAACTTTCCTTTCAGGGCCCTATTAGCAACTTTTCTAAATTATAGATATTTTTGGTATATTTTAATATTTGTACACTAATATCGCACCCTGTATATTGATATGAACATTGTCCAGTAAAAATTACGGGTATCTTTTTAAAAAATAAGAATGTATTACCTTATACATATATTACCTTTTCATGGTGAGACAACTTTTGCGGTTTTTCTATGTCCAAGTATTTCGATTTGTCATCTTTTTTCAAGAGCTGAAATTATAAGCCGGTGCTATTACCTTAAAAATTGTAATCTCGCGGAAACTTACCTTTCTCAAGGACAACACTGAATACATAAAACATACTTTAACCCAGTACAAGCCGTTGGGTCTCTGGTAGATTCCTAATATGGGCGCTGGATTTTTATCTAATATCCTTATTACTAAAATTATTAATACTGAAGCTGAGACAACAAATATATCGGTTAATTCTAACATTGTAAGTTTAACTAAATTTTATTAGCTATTCTGTGTCGGAGAAAAGATAACATTGGCACTCTTAAACTTTATCGCACCTTGTTTAAGATAAAGGTCGATAGGCTTGTGTCTCAAATATTGCAAATGTTTTGGTAATACAGGTGATAAATTAACTTCCACATGTTGGAGTACCAGTTGCGGATACATAAAATTTAAGTAACCTTCTGTAGATAAGATTAGATCTTACATTTTTCCAGTAGGATTTAGAAACTGGAAACAATAATGCAATAATATACGCTAAGTGAAGGCTCTGGGACAAAAAAGGAGATAAATCGATTTTCGTTTTAATTAGATTATTACAGATAAAGGTTTAGGAAGGACATAAAATAATTTTTTAGATATATCGTTATTTACATGAATATTTCAGTCCAATTCGGATATAAATCTTATACTTATTTAACCAAATGTTAAACAAATAATACTAATCTAAAAAAAACTGCTGCCTCTCCTGAACAATTTACATATTGTTGCTTATCCCCTACTTGCACTAATTATTCTTCGACTTGCAGATTAAGCAACCCCCTTTCATTTAAATCTCCGATGGTCTTGTGGGACTCTTAATAGGTTTTTTAATGTCACGGCTTAGTACTGACTCGCCGTATAATTACAAAAAAATGTACATTGAATACACTTTATCTATAGCGTTTCTTGTGATTAATATTAAAATGTCACAGCTGCTTCTGTTAATATATTTTAAAAAACTGGAAATTCCCGAAGTGTAAGTATATGGTTGCTGTTCGTAAAAAGCATTTTCATACCAAATTAATAAAGAAGGGCGTACCTTAAAATCGTAGTTTCATTTTGACCTTATTATATCATTGAAAGCTGTAAGCAATGAGTTTTAGCACAGAATAAATAGCTACGCTAGCGTAGCTATTTATTCTGTGGTTTTAGCAACGAATTTGTGTAGTTGGATATTCCAATATTGTTATCCTGAACAGGAAACTGTAATCTGTTAAAAAATAATAATCCAAAATATGTTACATTGTACAATTTTACCTTACAATTAGAAGAATGCAATTTTATACACATGGTAAAGGATTTTTAAGATTAATTTCAAAAGAATGAGAATACATATATGGTAAACGAATGACAGCGTAACTTGGATTTCCTATTTCCTATCCATTTTTTAAATCTTTTTGTTTTTTTTTAATAGCAAATCAAGATGCAGCATCTCTTTCTACACAATTTCTCAACAGCGACCTACTATTAGTCAGCAGTGAACTATTTACCTTTGGTACAAAGTGCCAAGATAACATTTACGAAAAATATTTACGTAAACAGAAAATATTACGCTATAAAATTTGTAATGCAAATAAAAAAAATATATGCCGAAACCCGGGATCGAACCAGGGACCTTTAGATCTTCAGTCTAACGCTCTCCCAACTGAGCTATTTCGGCGGTTGTGGTGGTTGACGAATATATGTTTAATCACGTTATCAAATAATACTTTATATAAAAAAATCTTGGAGCAATTAAGTTAGGTACATAGTACTAGTTTGATAAATATTAGGCGCATTCACCCCTAAAAACATCTACGCAAGATCATGGATACGGCATATACACATTTACAAAATGCATGTTTAAGACTTATTTACTCAATTGTCTCAACTACCCCGCTTTTAACTACGCCTCTGGAATATTTCAGTAGGTTCTTATACAGGGTCAATCCTAGGAAAGTTGCCTTTGGCAATGGTTTACACTCATCGGAGAAGAGTTTACCTCTTTTTTTTCTGGAAACTGGTCATTTGGTTTGCCCCTCGCTAGGATCGGCCCTGTTTGTCATACGATTATCGGAAAATGTTCAACGAAGGGAACAAATGTTTGATCTTTTTGGCGAAGAACCAAATTAGACACTGCCAAAAAAAGTTTGAATTACATTACGGGGAAATGTTGTACCCATTTCATATACAGGTACAACGCGTTCAAGCCTTACAGTCACACCCCAACTGAGTTCAGTTTTGTGAGTGGCTTCAAAAACTTCATTCTGGTTATGGACGAGGGCACATTTAAGTACACTACCCATGTTTGGTCTGCTGAAAATCGCCATGCTTATAGGTAAATGCATTTTTCAAGATAAATTTTCATTAAATGTGTAGGCAGCTGCTATCAACGGTATTCTTGTAGGGTCTTTTATCTTGTCGGATCGCTTAAAGAGCGAAAGCTATTTGAAATTTTTGAAAAATCATCTTTCGTGTTTTCTAGAATGTCAAGAAAATAATGTTATTGGTTCACGATGGCGTTCCTAAACATTCCTTTCCGCAACAAATAATAGGAAAGTCGTGAAGGGCCAGCCGCGTGGCCTACCAGCCAGATTAAATTATCCCAAAGTTACTTTTACAGTCCTCCAATGTTTCGACAGTGAAAAATAAATTTCATACCAGTAGCATAAAGCAAATAAAGTACATTTAATACATCTATTTGTAAGAATAATAAATAATAATAATAGTCCTACAATGACGATTTTTACTCAACTTTCGAATATGTGCTACGAAGCCGTTTATAGATTATTTACGAGAGGGAAATTCCCACAAAAGTGGTATGGTATCGAATCTGTCATCCTTATGAAATAGAAGACGCGGCGAGCAGAAATCGGAATATATTGTTAATACATATCCTCAATAAAATCTAATTTTTATAATCGAAACTTTGTTAAAATTTTTGCGAGCGCACCGCTCGAGAATTAAATTATCAATCTAGAGTCGCATCCGCTCAGAACTCTGTAGCTGCAGTCTGCAGAGAAGATTGTAAAGGATAAGCTAAGCTCTCGGTAGCCCAAATCCCCTCAGAACTTTTTGTACCTACAGCGAAGATTCTAAGGGATAAAAACCAGGTACTCCAAGGAGTGCTTAGGCAAGGCAAAGCTTAAAGACAATGATATGGACACAAGAGTAACCATACAAGACGTACCCAAACAACAATTAATGCAGAAAAATAAATTGGAGCAGAATACCTCACCACCGATGGAGAACAACCGACTAGCGGAACGCTCTACTCCAGGCATCTGTTGTGTATGGTGTTTTGGGAAAGGTGTCAGACACTCCCGAGATCTGGAAAAAGTAAAACCGCTGCACAATCCTGTGCTACACCGAAAGGGACAAGAAAGTCAATAGATTAAAAGCCACTGTAGATAACGTACTACGTCAGTTCGTGTCTGCATATCTAAAGGCGGTTTTCCACTAAACGGACAAAACAAAACAAACTTGTGTCGAATAAAACAAAACTATAACTTTTCGCAAACTTTTTGAAGACTGGCGTGTTTTGCGACAGTTGGAGTTTTGTTTTTCGGGTCCCGCTCGAAAGCGGTCACATCAAAAGGTTTCGACGTGTTTTGAAACTCAAGTCTGTTTAGTGGAAATGGTCGTGTTGTGTTTTCTATTTAAGTGATCCAACCCAATATCTATATTGGCGTTTTCTTCTTCCCAAAAACAATATTTTAATCATTAATGAATTATAGCTATTAAAAAATATATACATATGTGTACGGTTAGTGTTTACTTGGCTAGGATACAAACTAACCAAGTAAACACTTTAACCGTACATATACCACGAATTCCATCGATGGATATCTGGGAAACCGCTAGAAGGATTTTTTTGAAATTGTGATGGCGTGATACGGACTATGGAGCCTACCAAGCCAAAATATTAATTAATAAAGGTCATCGTATTTCCGGTTATACCGGAAGTTGATACTAACTTTCTTATTTTAAATGGAACCCCCTGTATATTATTTTACAATTTAGGGGTTTCCATTTAAAAATTTCGAGATTTCCACATATTCTGAACTTCATATTCGATAAATTTTTTTTGACCACCCTGTATAAAAACTGGAAAATTTTCATGTCAAATTCAAAGTAGGTCTTTCTCTAGAAAATGCCCAATTTGCACAAAAAAATAAACAGGGAAAACTAAATTTTGCTGACAGTCTGCATCTGTCAATTTTTGTTTAGAAATCGAAATATCTCGGAAACGGTCAATCCTAAGTATGGAGTGTGCTATATGTTTTCAACTTAAAAATGGATGATATTTCCAAAAATTCAATAATATATAGGGGGTTGCATTTAAAATAAGAAAGTATCGACCTCCGGTGTAACCGGAAGTACGATGACCTTGAAAATATTTTAACTTGGTGGGCCCCATGGTCCGTATCACACCATCACAATTTCAAAAAAATCCTTAGAGCGGTTTCCCAGATATCCATCGATAGAGTTCAAGGTGGGACACTCTGTAGACACACTTTTTTTCAAAGGACTTCAGTATAAACCAGCCATAACTAAGAATAAAAAAATTTTCTCTAAACATGTTGGCTGGTTATTGGAAAAATGTGTTCTCACTTCCTCGCGACAACCATTGGAAAAGGACTGAAAACAAAAACAAAACTCGAACAAAATGTAGCCCGCTTGATGGAAACAAGAGTTTTGGGTTTGTTTCAGTTTTGTTTTTGTTTTGTTCTAGAAAACACAAACAGAACATAAATTCAACTGTCCGTTTAGTGGAAAACCGCCATAAGAGTTTTGAAACAAACTGCATAATGCAAAGTAAATTGGTATTCGTTGATCGACTTTTCATGAATTTGTACAGGTGAATATTTGGTTGCTAACACCGAAGTAGATATATTATGGTGTAACAATGGTTCCAGAATTTTGCAGAAGTTGCAGGTTATAGTCATAAAATTTGATATATCTTATTTATCGGCTATATATCGGACAAAGCTTAGATTGATACTTAGAAATATTTAAATATACCAATTATAATTCAAAGTATTTTCGCGCGGCGCGCTTGCCTTATCGGTATAGTTTTTTAAAATTTAATCGCGCGAAAGTGGGACGGTAAACTCACCGTTCGGCTTCTATCAAAGTGTGTACTTAATAATTTTAAGTGTACAAATTTTACTCATAAAAGAGAAAAGAGGCATATCGCATATCAATTGTTATTACTATCATCTGCCATCAAAATGTTCAATGTATTAGGAACA